TATTTTTTTTTCAAAATGAAATCTACCCATAGTTGTAAAATCCTATTGTGGCAAGCTCTGATGTACAGCAGGCCAATATATTAATGTAAGTAATGATACAGATAAAATTAAGTTGTTTTTTTTTTGTTTTTAATCCGATCTTTTTTTATTACAGTACATTTAATCATACAAGTTAACAAACATAATACATGATACAGGGAAACATAAAAAACATAGTGTTACGAAGACACAATCTACACAAACTACAGATAAACGTATAACTATGACATATTCAATACAATAGAATGTTTAGTATATGTATACATATAATATAATAATAATTGGCGCGTTGTTCTGATGCATTGTCACGGCTAGGTTTATGCATGTTTGCACTTTCCACACCTATTTCAACTTACTAAAAAAAGTGCTGGTTTTGTTGGTTATAGAATCAATACAAATAGCAACGAAAAGGAGACACATTCGTGGTTTGTTTTATAATATCTTAAATCTGTTGTTCCATAAAGCATCCAGTTAGTATTCACTTGTACATTGGATGTATAAATATCAATTCTTTCGATTTTAAACAAGATTCTGACATAATATTATAACGTTTAAAAAAATTGTTTATTATACATAACTATTTTTGTAAGAAGACTGTTTTTTTTTTCAAAATAAGAATGTACTGAGAATAAACGCCATTTTCAAAATAAAAAGTCGTCAAAACACAACATTACCTTTTTCTCACTTTTATTTACTCCTCATCATCAAATTGAGGTATCCTTCTCTAGGTTTTATTAGTTTAAACATATTTTATTGACAATGACATTGACAATAGGATTAGTCAGTAAGTTTTACCAACTTATAAATAAGGTTTTATAACATATACACACAGTGCTACTAGGCTTCGTTATCCTCGAGTCGTCTGATTTGTTTCAATTAAACTCCATTGAAAATAATGCTTCATGTACTTGTGGTTATCCCTGTGAAAACGTCTCGCTTCTTTCTGTAGTGTCATCTTTTGCACCAATTAAAGAAATATTTTGATCTAAAATTTCACTGCTTTGAATGTTGCGTTCAGTTTTGGTCCGATTTTGTTCGGAAATCATATCTTAGCGTAGATCTTAATTCAAATTACGTCAAGTAACACATTTTGATTTGATAACGATATTGCAGATATATGTATGTTTCCATGACAGTAATTGTCTTCCGTTTGTAAATTTAAAATTGGGAGAAGGCGTAGAGTTGTAGTCGAATGTTGATAATGAATAAGTTTAAGTCAATCACTGATAGTTCAGTGACAAATTGCTTATGGCTTGATACCGTTTCTATAATGTTATCGTCAAAATTCCTCAAGACTATGTTGCAATCTCGATCCCGCCTTCCATGGCAGCTTCCGATAGGGTCCCATTCAGCGCGAGCTGCGCTTATGCTACTCGTACACTTTACACGTCAATATTTCCATATACAGCAATGCGATTTTGACGCGGTTTCCAATATTTTGTTTTAAACGCCAAACATCACCATCTTTATAAATCTTTACAGTGTACTTGTGGGGCCGGCAGGGGACATCTATCTGTAGCGATACTATGTATACTTGTTGAACACACTCCGGCTTAGGTTGTAACTAATGTAAACAATCGTTTTAAAACCGGTCCGTCCTGGAATGTTATCGCAGGGTTTTAAATGTTATATCAGCCCGTTAATTGGCCCATATCATATTTTTTAAAAGTCAATAAGACATTCGAAAATGTCGAGTTAACTGTAAGGAGTGACTGGCGGATTAATAGTTAAATATCCTATTGCGTTACACCCCATAGACTCTGACGAAGCGAAAAAATGGCGAAGACAACATAGTGTGGTTTCGTGAAGTAGACAACTATTTCAGAAGAAAAAGGACACTTATAACTGCAAATACAGTTGTACGAAAACTGAATATTATCTGTCTTCTTTTACGAATCTCAAACATAGACGTTTGACTGCGAACCCGTAATATCATGTACATGTGTATGACCAGGCCGACATGTTATTCATGTGGTCTTCTATTGCAAGTAAATGTGTACTACACAACACCGGAACTTTGTACGAATTTCCAACCCACAGTCTACAAATAAGTGACAAAGGTTATAAAAAAAGGCAAAACTGAACGAGTTTTTTTTTCTTATATGTAAATATATATGTACCTTAAGAGTCACGAATCTTAGTAACACATGATAACACTTCAGAGAAATATTTTATCTTTTCAATGAGTGTTTGATAAACGAGATTGATCACGTATTGGCAAAGTTATGACCTGACGAATTCAAAAATATACACGTATGCAGAAATGGCTTGGTAAAAACTTCCCTGTGTAACAAAGTGGCGTAATAACCCATACTTGTTGGTAATAGTAATGTTTATTTAGATGTTAAATAATAGTCATGTTCAAAGGCAACATCTCATCAACATACACATATATTTACTCCACTTTGCGTTGTGTCTCATAAAACAGTCTCTGTATCAAAACTGTCCTTGTATAAAAACAGTACTTCTAGGTATATACTAACATACCCACTCCTTATACTTTCCATCATGGTATAACCTGTCTGTGAGCTGGTCTGGTGGGCTACCTAGGGCCTATCTATTGGGGTGTCCCAGCCCCTTCTTCAAGCCAACTATGACCGTGCAGTCGGGTGTCCAAACCCCTTCTCTAAGCCATCTATGACCATGCAGTCGGGTGTCCAAACCACTTCTGTCCTATCCCTAACATCTAGCTCCTATTTATCTCATCTTGACCGATTCTGTCCCGCTATCCCCTTATGTAGACTTCACTTGTTGCAAGCTGGTATGATTGTTGAAGTATAACCACCACGCTCGAAGTGCAAGGTTGAGATTCCCCCTGCTTAGTTTGTTACTGGAAATAGCCCTTGACAATTACTCTAACACCTAGTGGTCACTGTCCGAATGGGCAATTGCATAAGTTAAATTATCAAGGAAGCTACGCTCGTTCCGTCTGATAGTATAATTTACACCACATGCTCTACAAACCCTGGGCTACTGCACTTCTCGCCTATCACCAGTAGTAATTAGCCTATTTAATTGATCTACTACAGAACCATGACTTAGCTACAGTGTTTTACTTCCCAATACCAATCCTACAATAAGTTGAATAAATTAATATATAAATATCAATACCTTATTGTGAAACACCTGTCCGGCTGAAGCATGCCCTGGTCTCTTAACTAAATACCAAAACCATCGACCGAACCACCATGGCAGAAAGGCTTTTTGGTGCCATTGTTTCGTATGCTGTAGTAATCATGATGTTCAATTTTTTCAAAATGTGACTTTCTCTTGAAATCAAATAATATTTTAACAATGTAGAAAAAGGCTAATGCACTCTAATGCTAAATTTTCTCATTTAAAAAAAAAAGTTTCCATCTCTACGTCATCAGTCACTGATATGTCCCAGACGGACGATACATCGTGGTACAGGGTAGACAACTTCAATTAAGGATGTGCGGGAATGACACATGGGTGTTACTTTCCGGTTTCTAACGATGACCGGTGGAATGAGTAATTTTTTTATAATATATACCAGATATTTATCCTGTTATTTTTAAACATGTCGATATAAACGAATTTCTTTGTCTTGTATTAAGGAATTAACCTTCAGCAACTCTAAAAAAAATAAAATAAAATAAAGACGCGACTTTCAGGAATTTGAAACTTAAGATTATACTGAAGCGATACACTGATCAATGCAGAAACAGGAAAAAATCTTCAATCATTTTTTAAACAGCATATTGCAATATAGCAAAAGTAACGAGAGTAAATTGAGATCAGTGCGATATTCGGAAATATGTCTAGGTTGATACAGAAGTCAATTGTTTACTGTTAAAGACACACGAAACAGTCTAGTTATTGTATATATCACATGCAACCAACAAACAAAACATTAATAGATTTCCTCATATCTATTACCCTCTTTAGTGATATCACCATGATATATAAAGGTATGTTTGGATATATACTATATAGATAGTGTTAATACTGAGCAAGTCAGTGACCAGTGTATGCGTATACTGTAATAAATATGCAATGAAAAGGTTTTTGAAACTTGTATAGTCGATTCACAAAAGAAAATGGTTCGTTTGAAAGTAACAACAAGAGGCCCAGAGGGCCTGTATCGCTCACCTGGATCTTTAAGACCAACAGTACTATATATGTGCATATGTTCCACGTTTAACACATTTGACCTCTGTGACCTTGAAGATTGGTCAAGGTCAATTCTTTTAGCAAACTTTGTTGAACACTGTAAAAGGAACAAAGTAGCCTAATATAATGATTCTAGACCTTCCGGTATTTTGAAAGAAGTCGTTTAAAAGCTTTAACACATTTGACCTCTGTGACCTTGAATATTGGACAGATCATTTCTTGTCACAAACTTTGTTTGGTTTCAGCAAAGGAACCTTCCCGCTATACATAATGATTCTAGGCATCACGGTATTTTGGAAGAAGTCACTTAAAAGTTTTTAACACATTTGACCTCTGTGACCTTGAAAATGGGGCAAGGTTATTTCTTTTTGCAAACTTTGTTGGGCTTTGTCAAAGGAACCTTTTAGCCAAATATGATTACTCTACGCCTTTCGGTATTTCAGAAGAAGTTGTTTAAATGAAAAGTTGATGGATGGACGCCGCGGTATGGCATAACCTCACTTGGTCCTTTGGGCTAGGCGAGCTAAAAATTATAAAAATAAATGCATAACTCAGATACATCAAACTCAAACTTTGATTTCTTTTCTATACAGTTCACATGTCCTCAAAGGACAATACTGTCCTTCATGGGAGACTGATAAGACTGAAAATAGGGAAATCTTTAGTTTGGGATCTTGGTAACTTAATCAAATGCTTGAAGCAAAATGTTAATAAATCTTCTTACTGTTGTAAGTCACCATAGGTTTTTAAATAAAACTTTCAAATCTATAAATCACATTTAGCTAACTTTTCATTGCTGATGAGGAACACACAACACCAGAAACACATTGTTTTCCAGAATCTTTTTAATACATTCTGTAATTATACAGGAAACACAAAACAATGCAAGGCCCATTTACACTATACAGTTCTTTTTACAGATGTTTGCTGGCTCTTGCCATAAAAAATAACTTCAGACACACTGTAACAGTATGGATGTAGCTTGTTCCTCCACTATTAGTGCTACCATCTTTTATTCTGAAGATAAAAGAAAAGAGCATTACAAAAGTACTTAAATCAGTTCATTTAAAGTCACAGTGTAAAATTTCACAGTGTTCCTCATAAGCAAGTATGAAGAGATTGCCCGACCACATGGGTATTCCCCGGGTACTCCGGTTTCCACCCACAATAAGACCCCTCGCACGCTTACATCAGGGCCAACAAGAGTGATATGTATAAGTTGACATGACTTGTTTCGCAATTGTGGTAAAATAAATAAAGTTTATATTTATAGAGATTACACAGGTATCGTGGTGGCTCCTTCTTCCCCTTACTTACTGTAAATTACATGTTGTATTGACAGAAGAATGATCCACATGTTAACAACAACCTAAAGCTTTTAGAATATTGATCTGTATGGTTATTGCATAACTCTTATCTCCAGTATTTCAAATTACTTTGATAAGCTGTTGACATTTTTAGGCAAGTGTACCTTTTAGCATGCATGGAACATTACAAATTTATTGTGGTAATATATTGCCTAGAGATGGAAAAAGAGTCTAAAGACATGTTTATACTTATTCTATGTATTATGGTGAGTCTACGAAACATTAACCACAATACATCACACAGCTGTTTGTGTCTATACAAACTTAGAACATGATCAGAGAAAAGGTACCAAAATGAATGCCCAATTGAAATGTTTTCAGGCAGTTATTTTTATTGTAATGATCATTTGATATAAAAGAGAGGGATCTTTGCACCCACCAATTTTCTCTTTTTTTCCCCTCTGTTTTCTCTGCTTCAAGAAATACAATAACAAACAATAACTGTTAAATTCCAAAATGGCCCCCATTATGTCTAAAATAGAAGATAAATAACTAGGAACCAGGAAGGACTTACTAACTAGGAACCAGTGAGAACCTACTAACTAGGAACCAGGGAGGACTTACTAACTAGGAACCAGGGAGGACTTACTAACTAGGAACCAGGGAGGACTTACTAACTAGGAACCAGGGAGGACTTACAAACTAGGAACCAGGGAGGACTTACTAACTAGGAACCAGGAAGGACTTACTAACTAGGAACCAGGGAGGACTTACTAACTAGGAACCAGGGAGGACTTACTATCAAGGAACCAGGGAGGACTTACTAACTAGGAACCAGGGAGGACTTACTAACTAGGAACCAGGGAGGACTTACTAACTAGGAACCAGGGAGGACGTATATATTATATTGGAGAATAAGCCATTTAGCAGTTCTCATGAAATAGCAACAATATTCCATTATTAACAAAACTGGATATACCCATCAGTCACTCTATTAAATTTCAGTCCCAAAATGGACAATGCACAACTAAAGTGCAAGGGAACCTACATATGAAATTTAATAATGGATGATCCAGTGCTTCTTCAAAACAATTCACAACATACATTTAACACTTACAATCTATGTCTGTTGGCCATTTTGTTTTTACCATCACTCCTAAAATTGACAAAGCCCTTTTGAACACATTTAATAAGCCAACAAGTCTTTATAGTAAGTAATCTATCTGGAAAGTATCTAGAAATTTGGATACTGTCATTGGATATCATATTCCTTCATGTTTAGCCTTCATCTGTTCAGCTAACAAAAATTCAAGAAGGGTATCAATGCACATTATACAAGTATATAGATTAAAAGAGACATGTGAGGTATGGAAATGCATTATAGATGTATTTTTTATCATTATCATGACCTTAATTCAGTTATTTTATTGGATTTTTTCAAGTGAGTTCAGTACACTAATTCCAATCTTTTTTATGCGTCCCAATACTAAGAGGATTCTCAAGTCCTTAAAATCAATGTAACCTCAGATCTTCTGAAACAATCGATCCTAAACAGCATTTTTAGTAAAGAAGCACTGTATGGTAGAAATAATTACTTTTGTAACAAATTTTCTTTTTAAAGGTTGGTGACCTTGGCCTTTTCTTTGACCCAACAAGAAATGCAAGCATTCTCAATAAGGAAACAATGAATAATGAGGGTTTGATGAAATGGACCCAAGAACAAAATGGTCTTGGAAAACTCTGTGCAGATGAAACCAACAAAATGATAACATTTTCATGCTCAATACACAGTAAAAATTATTCTGTAAATTCTCTGTACATAGAGAAACAACTTACCTATTTTGAATTGTACTTGATGGCATTTGTCTTCTTCCAGGTTTGAACGAAATATTCAACTGCTGTTAAAAACATCAGTAGTACTACCATACTGTACATCAGTCTATATTCCTTGCCGACAAACTCATGCATAAAACCATCTGGGTTGTTCCACTTCCAGTGCTACAAATAACAAGAAAATCAGCTGTGATAGACATCAGTGTTCATGCTTGTCATCATACAATTGAATTCTCCAAGATCATGAAGAAAACTATGTGAAGACATCAAAATCACTACTTCTTTCTTCTCCAAGCAACTGTGTACATGCCTACAAAATGTATGGAATTCCACAAAATTGGTTTTAGATAGTATTTATTATTTCTTAGATTTGTATCTTGTCAATACTTTTTTTTATATCATAAAGATTAGACATATACAAAAGATTTTTATATATAATACCTTGAAATTTCTCTCCCAAGCATGTTTTCATTACTCATTGTAATATTTCTGTAGTTTCTTTTTCATGAGACATTTTTTTTCATGTGATACATTCCATATTTCTTGTAAACTTGTTGAACTGTAAATAGGTCACTTTTTTATTCTGTTCAATTGGTTTTGTTATCGTAAGATGATATATATCTAGAAAAGCCCTGGTTCTGTTCATCCTTTGAGATGCTTTAAGCACAACTAGAATCATGATTACTAAGTACACAAATAGATTTGACTAAGTTCTATTATTTTGCCTGCCATGTTAACATGGTGTAAACAATATCAAAAGAAATATAATTATTAGAACAGTCACATTTTTTTTTACAAAACCTGCCAAAGTTTAGAATATGTGATACGGCATGTGTATAGCAAAGATTTCTAATCCATTTTTATCCTTGTATTAAGGATATACATTACTTTCTTATAGTCAAATTTCTCTTAATTGTTTGTTACAATCACATTACATACTGTTGGTGCCTGAAAATGAATACTATTCAGGACTGAAAAAAAGCTTTTAATTCCATGGCACTACAGCAAATGCGGTAATCAAATGCCTGTGCATTGGCACGCTCTCACATGTAAAAATACATGTAGAATGAAACAACCTACCAAAACACGTTTCTGTTCTCCTATAATAAACGTAGCATATCTTCCTCTGGTAGGAATCATGCCATATTTTGCACCCTGAGACAACTCTTTCATACTGTGGCGTGTTGGAACTTCTGGAAGTGTGGTACTTGGAGGGGTTGTGGATGCAGCCTTTGATGTTGTGGAAAACATAGTGCCAGTCACAGCACGTATCCCCTGTACCAAAACATCAACAAAATCATGTTTCATTTCAATAACAAGAGGTCCATAAAGCATGTGTCACTCAGTTTCCTGAAATTGCTTTATCTACACTAAGTGAAAGTATTTTGAAGAATTATAGCTATTTCCTCTAATAGGCAAAAACCCTCAACAAAAAGGGGTATCAGATGTACAATCAATGCATAACTGAGTTAGTTTCCTACATCTAAAGTTGTTTCAGACCAAATTTGGACAAAATTCAACCACTCCTACAAAAGAAAAAAGGATGTTAAGTAATCTGCTTCACTTCTCCTTTTGGGTCCTGTCCATCTGGCCCATTTGGGGCTGAGATCCATCATATACCGAACTCATTTTCTTTACCTAAGGTTGCTTCAGACAATATTTTAACAAATAATATTCATATGCACCAGAAGGATTTTGAAGTATGTATCTATTTCCCCTTTTTGGTCCCATCCCTCAGGCCCCCAGGGGCTGAAACCCACCACAAAATGGTTTTCCTTCACTCCAGAATGCTTAGGACTGCATTTGGACAAAATTCAACAACTTCTTTTAAATCATTTTGGTGTATTTTTTTCCTCTCTCCCTGTTTTAACTTAGAAATTCAATTGCGCCAGTAAACATTACGAGTTATACTTATTACAGCCTGCTACCACCCACTTTAGCATTACTGGGCAGTACCTGGCTTTGAAACCCTACTAGAGTAGTACTGAATGGCTTAGGGCAGACCAAGGCTGTAATTAATATATCTGGTAATGGCACTGGAACGGCATGAAAATAGCAAACTATAAGGTTAATTAGTCTGTTAGAGAGGCAAAAAAAATTGTTTTTCTTTAAAATGAAATAAGATTTCTTGGTACATTTCGAGAATAATTGTTCAATTCATCGCCACTTTTACCACTACCACTTCTATAAAACTAAAAGCTCTCTGTTCTCTGGACTCAAACTCATGTGATGGGTTATCCCTACTCCTATAACATAAGAGACCGCTGGTTGGTCGTTTTATTATCTGTCATTGCTGCGCCGGCTGCCACGGCTGTCATAAATTTCTTGCCGTGTAAAACCGCTAATATTGTTGGAGTAGGGTTGTCCCCAACCCGGTCTACATGGTTGGTATAAAGAAAAGGTGTGAAATAAGACGGTGCTTATAACCATGGATATGGTACATTCTTCGACTGATCGATCTAAATACTGAAAGTAAAAACAATAATAACTATATCCACTTCAGGGAGGAATCATAATTTCCAATACCTTTGGGGCAGTGCTTCTCTGAATTATCTTCAACATGGTGGAGAATTCGTCTGTCCTTCAAAACCACCGGAACTGGGGGGTCACATACACCATATGACCTTCACCTTTTGGTAATCTCGTTTTAAGTCTCGTTCTCGATACAGGTGCTTGTTCCTGTTTGTGTTGTTGTGATAGTTTCCATGTTGCTAAGCGCAATGAAAACATCGACATGACAGTGTGTTAGATAGAACGGTATGAATATCATATGAAAGCAACACCGAATAAGTCAGAATAATAGCAGAGACATTCGAATCACCAAAATGGCAAGTTATTTAAAGGATGTGGAACATGGACTTCCAACGATTCGAAGGACAGGTTTACTCGAGTCGACGAGCTCTCCACACAGGATAACCACAGTGGAGACTGATGTTTTACACCGGTATTCCTCTCCGATCGCGACTACTACCACATACACGACCGAGCCACTTATTAACCCTCGACCACCTTCTCCATCACAGAGAAGAGCAGTATCAGATGTAAGTTGCTCTATTTATTACAATTTTATGTAAACTCCATTTTAGTGAGAAAATACCGCCGTTTTTCGGATATGCTTAGACTAGCATATTGTCACTTACGTGTACATTGAGCCAAGTCAATGGCCGTTTGTTCTAAGTGAACATTTAATACACGCAACTTTCAGATCAATACCTTCTCAAACAATGACGTTTTTATTTGTTATATATTTTATATTCATTTTGTTGATAGTGTTTAAATACATTTACATGTACCACAGAAAATATTGCCAATCAATGTCATTATTGCCAATTATCTAATCTATAGATAATCTTTTAATCAGGTTCTGTCTTGCATTAGACATAAGTGTAATAGTAACCATAGAGCGACAACTTGTTTCATATTTCAAACACACAGAAATATTGATTAGTTCTAATGAGTTTAATTGGGGATGCAATGGTTCATATAGAAATCCCTTTTTTTTATCAATAATAATGTTTTCATCTTTCCTTTTACATGAAAACAGCAACAAACAAATAAATGCTGCAATTTTAATTTGGTGTGTTTTTTTAATCATTTCTTTTGATTTTTAACTATGGATAATTTACTTATCTATGACAGTATATATGTGCTATGTCATGATTTGTTTATGGTCAGTTTGATGAATTATTCCATTTATTGTTATCTACAGTAAAACCCTATAGTAAGACCCCTATGATTTTCATTGTTTTGATTTTTGATTTATAATGGATAGTTCCCATATTCTCAATGAGGTATTTGTGACACTTAGCATGTATTAAGTAAAGAACATTTTTAAAAAGAAAGCACCTGTATCTATATGATCAGTTATGTGAAATAGTTCACTTCTGTTATTTTCATGGCAATGGAATTTTTTTGCACAAGTGAAAAATAACATTTTTGAAGACTTCCAGCAATGAAAACAGATAAGTTCAAAAACACATTTCATTTTGTGCAGTAGACCTATTAAGTGAGCCTAATATGAAATAACCCCTCCCCAACCCCCTCCCTCTCCTACACCCAACTCCACATCCCCCAGCCCTATAAAAAAAAGGTGGGGGGGATGGTGGTAAATACACAATTAATGTTTTTTTTTCAGTGTAAATAAATATACATGTTTAACTCTCATTGCAAACTATTTGGTATCTTTATTTTTGTTGTGCACATGTGGAAAAATACCAAAATATTGACAACACTTATGAAATTATATAAATATTTGTCATTACTGAAGACAATGTGTGTATTTATTATGCAGTTTTGGTATTCAAGTATTTTCATAAAAATGGTTTTTTTTTTGTAAAACTCTTTAACAAATGAATTGTTTTTGCACAACAGCTTACAGATCAAGTGAAAACTTTCAAAGAAGAGTTGAGGAAAAAAGATGCTCTTATCCAGCAGTTAGTCAGGTGTGTATAAGATATTGAGGCTGAACAATTCAACTCACTCTACTTCTGACAGTTTATAAACTTCTATGCTATAGATACCTCATATTGAAAAACTTTGATTGAAAATTTTATTAGAAAATATATATCAGTTAAAATACAGGATGCTTTGATATGTTTTTTCGAAATGTTTTCAACATTGTACTGTTTGGATTTGACAGCATGGAATCTGTTCCTAAAGTGACGGTGCGATCAGGAGCAGATGCATACAGAGTAAGTAAAACTATTTAAAACTAAAATGTGTTGTTCAATTATAGTATGAATTATTAATTGTTTAAAGTTAGATATTGTAAAAGATATATATATATATATATGAAGATCTAGGATTCTTAGCAAGATTTCTGTAAATTTGATCAAGTTTTATGTAGTAAGTTGTACATAAAAAACTTTTCACATTTAATGTAATTTCATTCACAATTTTTCTTCAGCATGATGCCATTTTCATGGGGGACAGACACGCAATAGACACAGCTCGAGGTGAAGCTGCCACTCTTCAAGTCAAAAATGAAAAATTACAAGCCCATGTAAGTAGTGGACTAGCTTTTATATCAAGAAAATATTGAGGAAAGTCAAATTTACTAAATACAATGCATTCTGTGTACAAATGCAATATTTTGTTGCAAAACACTAATTATTTGTTTCTACTAATGTTTCCTTCGGCTCTTCTGTCTTAAATCATTGTCATTTTGGAAATCTACTTTTACAACAAAAATATGAAATAAAACTTTTAAATGACAAGCAGGAGTGGAAAAATGATGATATTGTAATCATTGTATGTTGCTATGGGAACAAGATTATATCAACAGTAAACATTCAACAAAAATCAATATCGGATCAATAACAGTGTGATTGTAGTGTCAGTATAAAGTTATCTCCACAGGGACATGTTCACCAGAACCCGGAGAACCAGACATTATATTGACAGCCTAATTACTGGGTCAATATATACATAATTAATGACTTACATGTATATTGTTTATAAAAAGATACGTCCCCACGCTAATAAATCGCCACAAGCATGTCCCTTGTTTAGAGAGGCACATATACAGTACTGTTACATTCACAGGAATTCATTTGTTGCTGCAGTTATGATATAATTGAAAAATCCTTAAATCAGGCTGACAATTATCTATCTATGTTAAGTATGGGTGGAGTGGTAGTGGTAACACAGTCACCTTTCACCTAGTCATTCGGGATTTGATTCGGGGAAGGGATATGTGAAAAGGTATGGTGTCATCTGCCTGACCATGTGGGTTTTTTTGTGGGTTCTTTGATTTTCTCCCAGGGTAAGACCCCCAACAATATAATATATATATATATATATATATAAGTTTCTCAATTGTTGTAATATAAATAAAGTTTATATTATATATTTCATTTAAAAGAAATTTCAATTTTAAAATGATAATTCAACCAGAGGCTAAAAATAATTTACGGGTAAGTGAAGAGATACGTAAGTTCCCTTATACCATTCTAACAAAAGGGTACTGAAGTACTGCTTTAAAGGTCATGATTTTGCTGTAGCTGATAGTCATCAATAAAATAAGGAAGAACAACATTGTACAGTTGTCAGTGATTCAATGTCTCATATCTGTGTTCCCTATACAATGACTTATTCAGTACAGTATAAAAGGTATTTAAAATATATAGAAACTGTTTTAAATACACTTGCCATTCACCGAAGATAAATATTGTATGCATAGCTATATAAACTTTTAAAAGGATAGTTGAGTGGCACAGTAGTATATTCGCTTTTCACCTAGCAATCCGGGGTTGGACATGACAATGTAGGTTGTCACCTGCTGGAGCCTGTGGGTTTTCCTTGGGTACACTAGTTACTTCACACAGTAAGCACCCTTGCTTGCATCTGGGCCAACAAAGAGTGATTTGTGTAATTTGAAATACTTGTGTATTGTAGCTTTTTTGCAACTTTAAAATAAATGAAGTTTGTATTTTCATTTTTTTTAAAATGATGTTTAAGCCAGGTGAACTCAGTCTTTGAATGTAAACCAAGAGACATTTTAAAATAAATGCCAAGCATCTGTTACAAAATATATTTACATATGTTAAATTCAGACTGCTAACTTTGAATGGGTTAGTACTAATATTGATAACCTTTTAATTCTTCAGATTACTGACTTGAAAACAGACTTAGAGGCCAAAGAAATCAAGATAAAGGAATTGAAGACACTTTATGACACAAGCAAGGAAAATGAACACCACCTCACCACTTTACTCGAATCCCATCGCCAACAGATAATGGAGCTGGAGGGCAAAGCAGGCAGCTACGAGACTGCTGTTGGGCGCAGTGAGTTCACTGTTTCTGCTCTTCAACAACAGATACGTGAGGGACAAGAAAAGATTTTGGAATTAGAATCCCGACTGAGGTGAATAGCTTTTCTCTGCATTAAGCGTATCTGACATACACAATAATGAGGGACATTATAGGTGTATAAAAGAAAAGATAAGAGAGTAATTGTAATATAAACCTGAAGTTTTTTTAAAGATTCGAATGTGATAAGTACCAAAGCTGCTGTCAGCATACTTGTATGGTGATGTCTTCTTTTCTTAATATTTTAACAGAAACTTTATTTTTTAGAAACATTGCAGTTAGCATAAGTCATTTATTAACAAATGTTAGTGTAAGAGAGAATTCGTTTTAAGACTTGTCACTAGGGAACTTCCTCTTTCTGTTCCAGTGTCAATTTTCATGATTTTGTATTTGTAGAACCCACCTTGATGACCGTGAGGCAGCTGAAGTGAAATGTCAGTCAGCATCGAAACGTTATGATGAGTTACTTACACAGATCACTGGCCTTCTCCAAGTGGAGAGTATACAAAGTGCACTCGGCCCCGAGGATATCCTTAGACGAGTAAGTCATCCATTTCTCACTGACCAACGGTCATCTTAGATGGGTAGAATAACCGTTCCAATCTAACTTAAGGTATTCCTGAGATAGGTCATTTCTGTGGGAAGGGATATGTCAATCCAAATATCATAGAATGATTATTTCTTTGTTTCTCTTTTTTTTTGGAAGTGACCAAATTTTCTTCTCATGGTAATGAATTTTCTTGCCATGTTGTGTTTGCTTTTAAGTATTTCTGAAAAGTTTTAATTTATTATTTATTTGTTGAAATTTTGTGATAGACATAATGTGGAAATATTCATTAATAATTAATCAATTAATTCCTTTAGAAAGTGTTGAGTCTACAGTCCTAAAATGATAAATAAGAATCGTGATAACTTGTTCTAAATGTAAATTTATTGTAATATTAACCAAAGTTCATCACATCATGCTTGCTTGATTTATTTTCAGTTAACAGATCTTGTTCAGGAAAATGCTATACTCAAAGGAAAAATTATTACAATGAGTGAGTGCTTAAACAGCACAGAACTTGAGACAAAAGCAAGCAGGGAAACTATAATGAGACTTGTGTCAGAGGTCGGCAAAGAACAGAAGTGTGCCACTAGATATACAACAGAAATAGACAACCTCCGCATGGTACGCATTTGTGGAATAATATGTAATGAGAGTGTGAATTTTAACATAGTTGTTTGATTACTTCTTTCACAGCTGTCTGTTTTGGGCTAGTTCATCTGTATTTAATTTCAAGTTTGTCTTTCAATTGGTATCAATATATACAGGCATGGCAGATATTTTAATTCACTGTAAAAATCGTTGCTTGGTATTAAATGTTTTGTAATCTTAAATAACCACAAACATAATAAAGTTTAATCCACTTGAATATTACAAACTACACAGTTATACAGTTATATTTCTAGTACTGCATTTTACAAGTTCTAATCATGTTATTTCATTTTCTGCAATAAATAACATCTGTGGGTGAACTGTGGGGTATCACCAGATAAGTACATCGTCCTTACATAGTGAAAACATTTGAGACTGTTATGGGACAATATGGTCCTTACAGACAGGGAGGAAGAAAGTTGATGCTACATATTGTATAACAGAATTTACTGTACAGTATATTTATGTTTTACAAACCTATATTCCCATTTTATTTCAGTAACTCCAGAATATTTTATTTATTGACTTTACTTTGATGTTTGTGTTTACAGGAGCGAGATGAAGCATTGTCATCAAAACATGGCCTTGAAAGGGAGATAGAACTTTTGAAGGAGCGACTTGAGGCCAGCCATAAATCTGTTGAGGCTGCACGAAGGGAGTTAGAACTAAGGGAATCTAGAATTACCTCCCTTGATCGCGAGTACCGAAGCCATCATCATGATGTACATGTGATCACCACACAACTATCAACCTTTAAAGAAAAACTAGCTGCTATCCTTAGCACAGCTGACTTAAGACTGGATATGTCGGAAGAAACCTTAGTCACACGCATTAATACCCTTATCCAGGAAAACTGCGAATTCATCAATGTAAGTCTCCCAACTTTTTAGCTGGTCATCAACAATTTGCTCTTATAACCACGTATGGTTATAGCTGAACACCTGATCTAAAAGGAAGGAAAGAAAAATTACAACAATTTTCCTTAATCTTTTTTTGACCATTTGATAAACATGTTTAACAAGATTTGGTTTGTATGCTGACTTTTCTTGCATTAACAAAAAAGATTTTTTTTTATTATAGCAACTAAAAAACCTTAGAGAATAAACTGGTCATGTTAAGGCTACGAAAATTAGATTGAATAGTCGCTGTACTGTATATATGATTTTATTTGATGCCCATTTGACCTTGACCTTGTAGAGAAACGAATCCCTCCAGGAACGTGTGAAGACCTTGACAGAACAACTGGAAAGCCAGTATGAACTCCACAAGTCTGCTGCAGCAAGAGCACGAAAGGCAGAGGTAGACCTGGCAGAGTATGATTCACGGCTACGCAGCGCTGAAGGGGAGCTCACAGCAGGGGATGTCCTTCGTGATAACATGAGGGGAGACAAGGAAAAAGTATGTTTATAATCCAGAGATGGACGGATTGAAAGTTTCATTTTCCATTTCTTAACAAAATTCTTACGATGCGATAAATTTTACATGGATGCAGAGCTTGATATTACTGTAAATTACTTCAATTTTGTGACTACTTTGTTTTGCGAACTTACCTTTTAAGACAAATTTGTAAATACATGATCTCACAAATAGTGATCTAAAAATGACTTAAACTTTGCGAATGATGAGCTATTAGAAACTATTCATGATATCGGTAGCCATATTAACATGAATGCCTTTTTTTCTTACAAATGATCCCAGAGGATTTGAATTATTCATTGGCTCTCTTTGTCTATTAACATGAAAATAAATCTCATGCAAAATATAAATGATAAACAGTATATTTGATTTTTGTTCTATTTTGAAACTTCTAAAAATGGACTTTTTTCACTCTCATATATTCTATTTTCTGTAAAACATAAATCTTGGATCTAAAGTTGGATTTCTATCAATGAAAAAGAATTTGTTTTCTCTAATTATGAAACAAATGTGACTACTTTTAAATATTGCCTCAATGAAAATTTGTCTCTGTTTCCAGTACCTAAGATGTCTCCAACAGCTCGGTGAGGTGATGAAAATGGAACGCATTTCAAATGACTTAGGATTAGATATGACCATTGAAGCTTTGATGGCTCGTGCTGACCAACTAGTCAAGATGGAAAAAGATGCACTGATTGACAAGTCTACACATATTTACAACCTACAACGCAAAATCAAATCGCTGAAAGAACAATTGGAGAGCAAGGATCTACATGTTGACCTGCTTCGGAAAAAGATGACCGGTCTGGAAGAAAAGATCATGGGCAAAACAGAAATTGAGAAGGAACGAGATGGAGAGACGTACAGAGTCCGAAAGCTCGAAAAGATCGTTGAGAAATACAAATTACAGAACCAAGATCTTCGACATGAGATCACCAATCTCAAGGCTAACTTGCTTGGTTCCAGCGAGATGAAGGTTAGTATGGATCAAAATACTGAAGTCGTAATCATTATCAGATGGCTGCAGAACTTATTTTTGTACATCTCTGTAATTGAAATATTACAACAATCAAGTGTAAATTCTGTATATAAATTTGTGTTTGGCCAATATGTTGTAATATTTTATGTTTTGTTTTGTGTTAGATTCGTACTTTGGAACAAAGGAAGGAGATTGAGGAACTCTCTGCTCAGGTAGAAGAGCTTGAGAAATTGAGGTCACGTCAGGCACACAAAATCTCCAAACTGAAGAGTTCGGTTGATCTTCAGGAAAGTGAGTCACAGGAGAAGAGGGTTATCGCAGACAACGCTGTGCACGCATTATCCAGTGAGCTTAGAACTACCAAGAATGCACTTATTGCTATACAGAATAGGGAGAAACAGGTGGGTAACTAATACAATAGGATTAGCATGCAAATTTGTGAATTTATGTTGAAATCAGTGATTGAATTTAAATATTCACACCTTGATGAAATTAAAAAAAAACATTGATTCACAAAACAAAACATCAGTCAGTATATCATTGACCTTAAATATTGTTATTACAGTTGTTGGACTTCCGTGGGGTGGTGTCACGTATGCTTGGACTGGATTTAAGCACACTGGCTGTGCCTGACTACGAGATAATTTCACGCTTGGAGAAATTGATACAGGCTCATCACAACCATACATTTACTACCATGAGTATGGAAGAGGCCCTTGCAGATATGGAGGATGGCTTCCTCAGTGGCTTTGAGGAATACCGCTCCAGAGCTGTGCCCCCACAGTCAACCATTGGTCGGTCAAGAGAACGGGCTCGTAGGAAGGCTGCACGTGCCCGAGCACGATCCGTGTCACCCCAGCGACGGGATCATAGAGTGTATTGAAAACCCTCTCTTCTGACTCTCCTGTCCCTAAACATGCTCATCAGAAGGTCTTGCAATGGTTCAAAGTGCTGTGAGGGATATACATATCATTATTAGCCAAAGTGTATTCAGCTGGAAATACTTAGCAAATAAACTTTTTTAAGAAACGAAAATGGATAAATTAGAATTACATTGCAAATGATGTCTTAATTTTACATTATGTTTATTGACCAAAAATTAAAAAGGAAAACAACACAGAAGTAGAATCTCATGTGGGTAAAATGATGAGTGTAGGGTAAATATTTCAATATGTGGTAGTGCTGGCAGTTATGATGAAACTCCTTGAAAGTAGTGAAATTTTGAAACATATTTTAACGCAGATACATGTATAATAGCAATATAGATCTACATGTAGCCAAATGCTGCACTGTCCCTTTTCTCTCCTTACTGTTTCTAGGTGTTGGGATAATATAATACATAGGCAGCATATACAGTGTTGTAGCAGTCCTACTTTGAACCTGTAAGTCATCCAGTAAATAGAGTAGTCTCCCCTTAAATCTAGAGTAGTCTCCCTTGCTGGTGCTAAACCTTTTCTCCAGCAGTCAGAAGAGGATGAGTGCATATCAACTTTTTCATTCTTTAACAATGCGCCATTCAGACTAGCTTTTTTTGTTATATAAAGAGAAGTAGATTTTTTTTAATAAAACTAAACAGCATGCTTCATATATTCAATATTTGCTACTTTTTTTAATTCCTGTGTACATGTATGTTGTTCAGTGTAGGAATGATACCAGAGTAACTTGTGATTTTGTAATGTTAAGAATTTGTATGAAAAAAATGAATTATAGAGGATTCAGAAAAAATTAATTTTTGTTGAATTTCTCACTGTCCTCAGAAATGTGATATTGGTACAATTATTTGTACTTTTTTGTAGTGTAGCCTAACGAGAATATCATTGTGTACTAATATATCTATCTATGTATGACATTGTAAGTTTTAAGTCTCATATCAAAGGCTTTAACTCAATTCATCAATGGCTGTGAATGGGAAATAATGATACATTTTTGTAATGAATTTCTTTCCCTTAGATTTGGTTGATGTTGTTATATTTTGTAGTCATCTTTTAAGCATTGTAGTTGTAGATCTAGTCTTTAGTTCACAGGAAACATGGTTAGATTTTCTACTGAAATTTTTATCAATTGAAGATAGTTCCAGTAAACAAAAAATTAGATTGATGTAAAACAAAAAAATATCTTTCACCTTAAAGGAAAAATTTTCTTCATATTACAAGTGTATTTGGACATTCCATCTTTGAATACAACCCAGAATTTTTTCTATGTGAGAGTTTTTTCTATTTTATCATGACATTCTTTGTAGAGGTGACATTTTTTATGAAATTTTTTTTCTCATGCTCAAATCAAAAGATATATTCTCTTTTATTGTATACACCATTTTTACCTGTGGCATTTTAATGTTGTTGTTTTGTTAAACTGATGAAAGTGGCCTTTGTAATCTGTTGTTATTTGATAAGGTTTACAGTGTATTTGATATTATGACATGTCAAATTTATGTTTTTAATGGCAACACAACAATCTTAGTTGCTATATTTGTATCACAGATTTTGTGATAGGTTTGAAAATCTGTTACAATATCAAAAAGTTATTTTGTGAAACAAAATCAAATTAAGCCAACCGTTTGACACTTTACAAGTAATAAGATTTATATGAAACGTAAGAGGTATGACACAAATCATGTGTGCTTTTAAATATCGATCAGTTTAAATCAACCATAGAATCAGTGTAAATTAACCATGAAATCAGTGTAAATCCACGTAAATCAGTGTAAATCCACCGTAAATCAGTGTAACTGTAGTCAGAGACTACCACACATATTTGGAGTATCACTCCTCTCGTCCATATTAAGTCTGATGTTTGTGATATGTTTTTGATGTTTAAATGAAAGTGCCACACAGTCTTAGGGATGAGGGTTTATCCTACCTCCAAAGCGAACTGATTGCTGATAATTATACCTATATACACAGAGGTAGATCTTCTCTACGTTGTTAACTACTTGTCCCAGTCTTTGTAGATTTTTAGTTCTGTATATGCTTTTTCATACTTTGTTCATACTGTACAAATGTATATAGTAATAATGTATCTATATGTTCATCTCTAATAAATCAGATACTGCCATGAATTTTTTTGTGTGTTTTCTTTATCTAAGTCTTGTAATGATAACATCTGTGATCAGTAATGATGCTGATGATAGTGGGCTAATCAAGTCAACCTTTGTCTGACTGTAAAGATTTCTTGATGTCACTTTTTTCGTTTATAGATTCCTTATTTATGCTTAATCCGTTTTAAATTTTATCAGAAAAACAAGATGGTTGGCAATTAATTTTATCTGTATTTCTGGAGAGGTACTTTATGGATAATTGTCAAATTTCATAATTACACTCCCCCTTGAACCCTAGTTGTACACTGGGCCATTATGGGACTGATTTGGAAAACAAAATGGCCGACAGGCGGCCATCTAAAATTTTAATAGTAATAGTTTGTCAACGCTACGTCTAGATTAGTACAGTCGAATAACTTTCAAATTTAATTCGTACGTTCCCTTAGGGCCCTAATTGTGCATTGTTGCATTTTTTCACTTATCCAGAAAATAAAATGGCCTAAAGGAGGTCATCTTGGATTTTGACATTGAAAGTTTGGTAATGTCTTTTCATGAACATTTTGGCTTTGACAGTCAAACATTTCTGATTTTTTTTAATTTCTTAAAAGAAAAATCCGAGGAGAGAAGAAGAAGAAAAAAAATCCTACTTTAGAAAAACAGATAAAAATCAAATAATGGTTGACGCCAATACTTCCGTATGATCTCTAGTTTCCTGAAACAACCGCTCATAATTTTATTATGCCATAACACTGATACGTCATTATCTGGAATGGTCACATGATATCGTATCAGTCATCACCTCAAGCTCTTTCGAACGCTCAACAGTGACGTCAAAAGTGAGACATTGTCAAGCTAGATATTAAGAGAGGTAGAGATAGGTTGATAAAACTAAGACGTTGTTACGGGAGCCGTTTGTATGTTATATAGTACATAACAAAATAGCATGTTTCTTGCCCTCATGACATTTTTTTTAAAGGACACAAAATAAAACCTCTACACAGACTCCCTCGTAACAGGCCGAACCTGGTAGAAGGGACCCGATATATTGTCCATACCGTGAGAGAGAATGATGACATTAAAAAATAATTATTTTGTCTAGCCAGAGTAATCAGAGCAAACACAGATGTTCAATATTACGTACTCTATGAATAGCATTACGTTATTTATTTAATTAATGTCGCTTCGTTAAAAAAAGGGTCATTCTTGGCGTCTATAACCATGAGATGATTTTAAATTTAAAGCACAGCCTTCCAAAAATATAAAAATGTGTATATTGTATATAACAATAATCAATTGCACTGACTTTTTCGACAACGTGTACAACACTTGTTTATGACCAGATCTCAAACACTTTTATATTAAACAGAAAAAGAAGACAGAAATACTTTGTACATTGTAAGAGTTGCTCCCCCTGATACACACTACGCTGTTACGATTGAAATGTCATTGTTCTGCTTGTCCTCGCCTCGAGGTGAAGAAAAAAGTCTTACATCAACGGCACGATTCATTCAAGGTGTTGTTTTGAAATTAATATTTTAAGATTTTAGTGTACGTGTATTCTAATCTATATATTTATACAGTAAAATCATGCATTGTCGAAAGGGGCATTCTGCTATATAATACTCTTTAAACATGTGTTAACGATTGTGGTTTCTCACTTGTTTGTAAGGGTTGCTTCCCTTGATATGCACCTCCTACACTGGATGATCAAACAAAATAAGGAAAACCGATAGGATATTATAGAGATAAATACGTAACAAAATCCACGTGCAAAATCAACACAATGACACTTACATGTCTATCTGGTACGCTTTATGTTATTTCACGTTCCTGGATGAATTTAATAAAACTTTATTACATAAATATGATACAAAAGGATCGGACGTGAACTATCACAGCATATCAATGTTTTCTCCATAATACATGAATACACATGCAAAATTGCAGTAACCTTATCATTACCAGTACAGGATATAAATTACTAGGTATAAGAAAAGAAGAAGAGACAGAAAAATAGAGAAAGGAGTAAGAAAACGATGAAAGGAGAGCGTAGAAGTCAAAAGCTAGGTAGATGACATTACATACTGACATATACTAACTCAAATACTTTAGTATCGACAATAAAGTTTTGAACATGCTTACAAATAGCTTCGATTGATTTTTTATCTATACAATACACCATATACGTCTCTGATGTAACATGACCTAGACTATTTGGTAGGGAACATTCCTATCCAACCATATCTATAATAGCAAAATGCCACATTGAGATTTCTGTGTACAAAGTTCTGTGTGAAAACATGACATCTGTGAACTAATCTTGGTTTCCCTACATATTTGTTTGCGAGATTATTGCATGCATTAAGTGCACGTGCGAAGACAACGAGCACGACACCGACTCGGACACGTTGTACTGACAGCATATAAGCCTTTCTCACAGAGCCGAAAGTTTAACCCATGACCAAAAGTGAGGCAGAGTCATAGGGAGATCAGATCCCAAATTTAAGTCGCCTCTTATGATCATGCAACGATGTTAGCAGGACAATTGGTGTTTAAACTTCACAGGAAAAGACGATATTAGGAGCATAGAAAACAAGTTACAAAAGTTAACTTGATATAAAAAAATTAATTATATTAAAGAAAGTGATGTGTTCTTCATTGTCCTGGTGTCCGTAACTTCCTTAGTGGCTGGTAATTAGAAGATAAATATTGCCAGACTTTAGACGCATATCACGTGACTAGTTATTTGTTTATTAAGGTATAGCGTCATCATAACGAACAACGTCATATGACGGTGATAAAAAGGGAGAAAAAATGATAAAGAGAGAAAAATAACAAGATGGAGTTTTACGCTGAGGACATCACATCAATTACGACCATGAAGAGATCATCCGATTCTGCACAAAGTCAAACAGCAATAGGACGTGAAAATCACCAACAAATGGATACAGTAGTTGTTACTATTTTCACCTCCAACATTCCCTAAACAGAGAAATCAAACCCGGAGGAAGACAAGGTGAGGTCATTGGTTTTTCAACTGTTGGTCAGTTATCATGTAGTTGTAATAATAGTGCTTAATTGGCAAAATATGTCTCGTCTTTAGTTCTAAGCTGCTATTGATTGTCGATGGTTTTGTTTTACTTAGAGGAAAAACTCCACAAATACGCCTGGTTGGAAGAAATGTGCCATTCATTTTCATATCAGACATTTCTTTTCATTTCAATAATTGGTCAGTATACGAAACGTTGTGCGAATAAGCCAGATATTTTAACTGACCGCGATGATAAAATGGCAAGATTTTTTTTGCTCCCAATTTTAGTTTTAAAAAAAGGCTGAATTTGAAAGCTTGTCATTACATTATAACAGAAAAGCTCCTTTTAGTGCGGTGTGCACATAGGATAGATACATTTTAATATTAGAGCTGTGTTGGTACACGAAAGAAGCGGAGAGAAAGCTAGTTCTTTAGATTAGTTCAGTTGTCTATGTATAACATATAATGAAAACATGTCTTGATTTTCGGGTTTTACCTGCAGGGCATTTTAACATTGTCTGACACGCAAGATTAGTTATATCTATATTTTTGTCACTTCGTAAAAGTCTTGTCTCTTTGAAAAATATAAATATTTAGTGCACCGAAGAGCAAATATTCACTGCATCTGTGGTCGAAGCAATGCTTAACTTTGTGTATAATCGCTGTTATCATGTTTTTGTCATTTTCAATCCACGGACTCAAGTCTTCGTAGACGATTAAGCATGGTAATCATTGTCTGATTGAAGTTATTAAATGAAACAATTGATTTGATATAATACAGTTTTTTTTGGTTGGTCTTTTCTAATGCAGCTGGTTACATCGTATTTATTACTGTACCAATTAATGACTGTTTCTTCTTCTTCTATAATTTGGTTTCTTTTTTTTTAATATCCATATTTGAATTGTATTATCAGTTCATTCACATGCTGTCCATAATCAAGATTTTGTTTTTCGGGAAGCATTTTCCTCAACTGCCGTTTACTGATAATCTTTGACATTCAATATTGAACAAGAAGATTTGAAAACGCATCACTGCATCAAATCATATACAAAGCAAACACTTTACATAAACATGTTTGACTGCAATATTCGTCAAATGACGAACCTATTGCATGACATGATAAGAAAATGGCACGATAATTGTTAATTGTTGTCCATGTCATTAGATCTAGTTAAAGTTTGACAAGATTCTAAAGTTTGTGTTGATGAAAACATGAAACTATGTCATGTTTTCAAACCTTATGTTATTGTCGAAACTGTCGGACTTTTTTGTGTGTAACATTTTTAATAATGAGAAGAATCAGGATGACTCTAAGTAAATGTTAAATTTAAAATGATACAACCATGTAAAACGTGATCGACTTTTCTCACACGAGTGATCGACTGTCATATATGTACTCGAATATTCTCACGCACGTGATCGACTATTCTCACACGAGTGATCGACTGTTCTTAAACACGTGATCGACTTTTCTCACACATGTGCTCGACTGTTCTCATATATATGGTCGACTATTCTCACGCACGTGATCTACTTTTCTCACACACGTGATCGACTGTTCTCACACAACTTCCCGGCTGCTCACAAACATCGGGTTTCATCCCTACTGTAATGAAAAAACGCATGCTATTTTTCACACAAACAAATATACACATTGTTGTAGAAAGTTCATTTCATATCCAACCTTTCCTCAAACCGCAAACAACTAAATATCTGAATTCATTTTCAAGTGCAGGTGTACAATTTATGCTTAACTGCCAGCATACATAGACCCTTTTCTTTAGATGACACTGAATCGTAGGTTTAGAAATTTTGCATAGAATGCATCGCTTCGAAATCATATGATTAGACTAGATAGAAAGGTGTAAATGACTGGTTTAAAGGGATTTTTTTATAGAACTATTCTCATGTCAGTGAATGATTCCATCATGAACGTGTAGTTGATGACCGATAAATGTATAATGGAGGATAGTCTAGCTTATATAATCTACACGTGGGGATTTGTACTTCTTACCAATTCGTCTGCCATTCTCAATAGAATAATTTCAAAGTAACAAACAATTCATTAAATATTTAAATTGAAAAGTAAAATTGGTTAAATTCAGACCAATACATATAAGGTGTAAATTCAATAGTCACCACAAAAAATCCGCTTAATTTGAATCGCATGGTTCCTTTCGTTGGTTATAATCGGATCGTTCTACACTCTGTCGTCCGCCCTAACGCCCTCTAGTGGAGATGAAAAGAATAGTGTTATTCCGTACAAAACTAGAGTTAAGCTGCAGGAAGCGAGGAAACACATTCTTGTTCGATATGCATTGCTGTCTAGGTTAATTAAACAAGTAAAATTGCAGTTTATTGTCGCGCGTAACTAGAATTTGTGAAGTGAGTTTAAATTTTAACGTTGTATGTCCATTTTCTCCTCATCTAGTGAAGGATGAGTGGGATCAAAACGCCGACAATATTTCTTTACTTAAAAAGGTGTAAGTTGTATCTGTGATACAAGTACAAGTTATACATGAAGTTGGAACTACTTATAAGTAACTTGATGTGATCGAATTTTTCGCGATCCTTTATATAGTCGCTAATGATAAAGCTTAATATCTGATCATGATACATCTAGCCAACTTATCTTGTCACTACTAATCTAACCCACTAATCTGGTTAAAGCTAATCTAAACCACCAATGTGGTTGATGCTAATCTAAACCACTAATCTGGTTATTATTAATATAAACCAATAATCTGGTCACTATTAATATAAACCACTAATCTGGTCACTACTAATCTAAACCACTAATCTGGTCACTACTAATCTAAACCACTAATCTGGTCACTACTAATCTAAACCACTAATCTGGTCACTACTAAGCTAAACCACTAAACTGGTCACTACTAATCTAAACCACTAATCTGGTCACTACTAATCTAAACCACTAATCTGGTCACTACTAATCTAAACCACTAATCTGGTCACTACTAATCTAAACCACTAATCTGGTCACTACTAATCTAAACCACTTATCTGGTCACTACTAATCTAAACCACTAATCTGGTCACTACTAACCTAAACCACTAATCTGGTCACTACTAATCTAAACCACTTATCTGGTCACTACTAATCTAAACCACTAATCTGGTCACTACTAAGCTAAACCACTTATCTGGTCACTACTAAGCTAAACCACTTATCTGGTCACTACTAATCTAAACCACTAATCTGGTCACTACTAATCTAAACCACTTATCTGGTCACTACTAATCTAAACCACTAATCTGGTCACTACTAATCTAAACCACTAATCTGGTCACTACTAATCTGACCCACTAATCTGGTTACTACTAATCTAACCCACTTTAACAGTCACCACTGACCCACTATAACAGTAAACACTAACCCAGTAGCCACTATAACAGCCAACACTAACCCACTATAACAGTCACCACTAATCCAGTAACCACTATAACAATCACCACTAACCCAGTAATCACTATAACAGTCACCACTAACCCACTATAACAGTCACCACTAACCCAGTAACCACTATAACAGTCACCACTAACCCAGTAATCACTATAACAGTCACCACTAACCAAGTAACCACTATAACAGTCACCACTAACCCAGTAACCACTATAACAGTAACCACTATAACAGTCACCACTAACCCAGTAACCACTATAACAGTCACCACTAACCAAGTAACCACTATAACAGTCACCACTAACCCAGTAATCACTATAACAGTCACCACTAACCCAGTAACCACTATAACAATTAACACTAACCCACTATAACAGTCACCACTAACCAAGTAACCACTATAACAGTCACCACTAACCCAGTAACCACTATAACAGTCAACACTAACCCAGTAACCACTATAACAGTCAACACTAACCCAGTAACCACTATAACAATTAACACTAACCCACTATAACAGTCACCACTAACCAAGTAACCACTATAACAGTCAACACTAACCCAGTAACCACTATAACAATTAACACTAACCCACTATAACAGTCAACACTAACCCAGTAACCACTATAACAGTCAACACTAACCCAGTGACCACTATAACAATTAACACTAACCCACTATAACAGTCACCACTAACCAAGTAACCACTATAACAGTCACCACTAACCCAGTAACCATTATAACAGTCAACACTAACCCAGTAACCACTATAACAGTCAACACTAACCCAGTAACCACTATAACAGTCACACTAACCCAGTGACCACTCTCCTACACCTCACTAATCCAGTAACCACTCTCCCGGACATCAGTAATCCAGTAACCACTCCTCCACACCTCACTAATCCAGTAACAACTCTCCAACACCTCACTAATCCTGTAACCACTCTCCCGGACATCAGTAATCCAGTAACCACTCCCCCACACCTCACTAATCCAGTAACCACTCTCCTACACCTCACTAATCCTGTAACCACTCTCCCGGACATCAGTAATCCAGTAACCACTCCTCCACACCTCACTAATCCAGTAACAACTCTCCAACACCTCAATAATCCTGTAACCACTCCTCCACACCTCACTAATCCTGTAACCACTCTCCCAGACATCACTTATCCACTAACCACTCTCCCATACCTCACTAATCCTATAACCACTCCCCCAAACCTCACTAATCCTGTAACCACTCCTCCACACCTCACTAATCCAGTAACCACTCTCCCATACCTCACTAATCCAGTAACCACTCTCCCACATCTCACTAATCCAGTAACCACTCTCCCACACCTCACTAATCCTGTAACCACTCTCCCAAACATCACTAATCCAGTAACCACTCTCCCACACCTCACTAATCCTGTAACCACTCCCCCATACCTCACAAATCCAGTACCCACTCTCCCACACCTCACAAATCCAGTAACCACTCTCCCACACCTCACTAATCCAGTAACCACTCTCCCACACCTCACTAATCCTGTAACCACTCTCCCAGACATCACTAATCCAGTAACCACTCTCCCACACCTCACTAATCCTGTAACCACTCTCCAACACCTCACTAATCCTGTAACCACTCTCCCAGACATCACTAATCCAGTAACCCCGATCCCAGACATCGCTAATCCACTAACCACTCTCCAATACCTCACTAATCCAGTAACCACTCTCCAACACCTCACTAATCCTGTAACCACTCTCCCGGACATCACTAATCTAGTAACCCCGATCCCAGACATCACTAATCCAGTAACCACTCTCCCACACCTCACTAATCCAGTAACCACTCTTCCAAACATCACTAATCCAGTAACCACTCTCCCATACCTCACTAATCCTGTAACCACTCTCCCAGACCTCACTAATCCAGTAACCACTCTCCCATACCTCACTAATCCTGTAACCACTCTCCCACACCTCACAAATCCAGTAACCACTCTCCCACACCTCACTAATCCTGTAACCACTCCCCCACACCTCACTAATCCAGTAACCACTCTCCCATACCTCACTAATCCTGTAACCACTCTCCCATACCTCACTAATCCAGTAACCCCGATCCCAGACATCACTAATCCAGTAACCACTCTCCCAGACATCACTAATCCAGTAACCACTCTCCCGGACATCACTAATCCAGTAACCACTCTCCCACACCTCACTAATCCAGTAACCACTCTCCCGGACATCACTAATCCAGTAACCACTCACCTACACCTCACTAATCCAGTAACCACTCTCCCACACCTCATTAATCCAGTGACCACTCTCCCACACCTCACTAATCCAGTAACCACTCTCTCCACTAATCCTGTAACCACCTCACTACTAATCCAGTAACCACTCTCCCACACCTCACTAATCCAGTAACCACTCTCCCACACCTCATTAATCCAGTAACCACTCTCCCACACCTCACTAATCCAGTAACCACTCTCCCACACCTCACTAATCCAGTAACCACTCTCCCGGACATCACTAATCCAGTAACCACTCTCCCAGACATCACTAATCCAGTGACCACTCACCTACACCTCACTAATCCAGTAACCACTCTCCGACACCTCACTAATCCAGTAACCACTCTCCCACACCTCACTAATCCAGTAACCACTCTCCCACACCTCACTAATCCAGTAACCACTCTCCCACACCTCATTAATCCAGTAACCACTCTCCCACACCTCACTAATCCAGTAACCACTCTCCCACACCTCACTAATCCAGTAACCACTCTCCCACACCTCACTAATCCAGTAACCACTCTTCCACACCTCACTAATCCAATAACCACTCTCCCAGACATCATTAATCCTGTAACCATTTTTCAAGACATCACTCACGTGGTTATTAACATTTCAGACACCAATAATATGGTAACATTTGTTCCAGACACCCTTTATCATACAACCAGTATTGCAATGAATACGTATCCCTTCAAATCATTTCTAGTGGTTTCTACTCTGTGAATGCTAGGAGTTATATTTGCGTTACATTGTTACGTAATGCCAAATGTAAACGACAGAAGGGTTACTATATGTAGGCATCAAGGAAATATTTACATACACGTAAACAAAGGCGAACTTTTGAATTAATCCAGTCATTTCATAGAGTATTAACAATGAAATAACATTATATAGCCTTAATATGATATCTTTAATTAAGTCGTAATTCCAGTTATCTACATCGAGACAATGCATTTTTTATGAAATTTTCACGTGCATTTTTCGTGGCACAAAAATTAGTGTATATCCTAAAAATCCGATAAAATTCTATCTTGTTGTTATCGCCAGTATATAAAAGGTTTAAATGAATTAGTGTTTTGTTCTTACGCTTTAGTTTAACTAGCGACAATAAGTACCGTATGATAATTAACTAATTACAAAGATGTAACTATTCTAAGGTACCTGTAAATCCAAAATGTCTCTTATCCTGTGTCTGTAACACCCTGATTATGACGCAGCTCAATTGTTTGATAAATATTTTGAAAGATAATTTTTGCTGACCAAGTTGGCTGCTTTCCATGTAATTTGACGTGTCTGTTTACCTACATCGGGTATACTGTATATCAGGTGTAACATACTCGTTACTAGTATCAAGGTATCCGATACCTAAATGTGTGTTTTCATTTGCATTTAAGTATATTTTTATGAACTATATACTTGTAGCATATTTACATTAATATAGATAACATGAAATATTTCTATCGTTTTATATAAAGATGCTTTATGTTAGATCAATTAATGTTTGGTAAACAAATCATAGTATTATACACTAATACGCATATAATTCAGAATATAAAGAAAATAGGAATTGAGTCAAATATCCTGGGATACATCAGTTTGTCAGAGATTTCTATTTAGATGGTTGTAACCAATCAGCGGTACGCATGCTGGGCTCCCTGACGTAGGTAACAGTCTGTAGTTTGGTCGGCCCCTCTATCGACAGCTCGTCATCCGCCAGCCTATCGCTACTTCAACTCACACACACACGCTGATCAACCGCGTCTGCGCATGAGCGAACAGGTTCTTTAGATGCTCTCTTGTATATGTTTCTATTGACTCTCTCACTTCCTATAGTTTCGTTACGATGTTACGTATGAGAGAAAAAAAACATGAATGAATGAACATGGTGTTATCTCATACCTGTAAAGCCAGCACGAGGTAGTGAAAAATCACGGTCACACTTGCCGTGTTTCTTTTCAAATCTTCTTTACAGGTTTTCATCAAAAAGAAATTTTTATTTAATGTTACACTCCACAATGAATGAACAAGCGTTTTTCCACTGGGATCTGATTCGGCCGACTCTCCAGCCTCAGGCCTTCGGTATGGGTGCATCATTACTCGATTTTAGGTAAGTACCTATGAACTCATTCTTAATGAAATGATAAACAATTTTTTTTATAAATAGTGCTTATCTCGTTCTTATATAATACATAACGAAGATAGTTCTAGGCGTAGGTAAGTTAACAGAGAATGTTATACATATTTAATAATATATAGGTGTATGTAAATAAAGCGGTATGATGTAGGTAATATCCCTTCTCGATAATAGTATGCACTGTCAATTCGTCAAATTATACCGTATTCATGGTTTTGTCACCCTCTGTCATTATTCTAGCAAAAATTACCATGACAGCACAGGATTACTACAGTACATATTTTACGCTAACGTTTAGGATTTGATTTCTGGATAATGTGAAATACCTATCCACAAGCATGTTGTTAATTATATGACCAAGTGGCATAAACCTGATTTAAAACTAAAAGACGTACGTACATAATTGATATATAGTTTATATCTCCACGTATTGACATCAGAGATATAACGTGCATTATATCATTTCATTTACATATGTAAACAAATATTTCTATAAGTAAGCCTTCATCATTTTCACCTTTACTTATATTCTTATCATTTTTTTATGCCTTTTGCGTTAAGTAAAACTCATATATAGCTGAAACACGTTGAATATTTGAAATGTTACGTCTTTGTTTCGAAAGCAACCGTGCAACGTTTATTTTTCAGTTGAAAACGATAATTTTACAAATGCAATTAGGTTAAATATAACTGAATTATATTACAAAAGTAAAACATATGTTGGCAAGTAACACTATCTATGGTCGCTCGACAACGTGTCAGTCTCGCGTTTTAGTACAGTTGGTAATCATGCATATCTCGAGCTAAAAAAAACTAAAATAGGAGTTTTAAGTCGACGCAATTAACACACCAATGAACACCCACATTGCAACAAAAAATTGAAAAATATTAAATATGGCATGACGAATAACCAACGTTCTAGGTTTGGCTCTTATTGTCATAATTTGAAAATAGAACGTATTTAAGAACCGGCATTTAATGAGGTGTTAGATTTAGGAAATAAGAAGATCACGCGATAATATGTAAATATAAAGCATGATGCTCAAGTACAATACTGTATTATACTGTAGTTCATAAAACATCAAAAACATGCATGATGCGTGCATGAAACTGAAAAAAAGAAAGAAAATATGTTAATTCAAGTGCAGTTTAATGGAAATTCGGTGACAATTGAACCCAGAATATATCCTTTTTAATGATAAGTACGTATTCGTAGACAATGTGACATAAGCATTAAAACATAACATGTTCTGGTAGTCTTAATGTTACTTTGGGAACGTGTCATCCATTGTTCATGTAATAAAAGTTTTATAATACAGTCATATATGTATCAAAGCAAGAGGTAACCTTGTGTAGTTATCATACCAAAAAGAGTCTAGTTTTTTTTAATATTCATGTTTGAATAATGTAGATTATAGAAATGTTCAGTTATTCGATATAAGTAATTCTGCTCAAACTTAATTAATGTTCAATATTGGTATGGTTGAAATGATAACATTGGTATTTTTCCTTTTGTTTCTTATAAGTAATGCAATGGTCAAATGAAATATATTCCAATATTCAATGTAACGACGAATCAAAATAGGTAGAAAGAAGTCGAGTATTATTATTATCATCATTTAAGAAAATAGAGGCTGAAAATCAAATTAAGAAACCAACCATGTTGCCTTTTCGTCTATTCAGGATTTGTCAGTATCAATGAAAAGTAAAGTCAGAGGTGCTTGGAATCCTATTAACAAACAATATAACAGAAATAACAAAAATATTTCACGAGACAATACAGAAATAAGGCAATTAATGAATTACCTGGTAAAACCTTAGTAATAATTACATTGTTGTTCTGAGTCAATATAATAAACTAAATTCAACAATAACATTGCATTGAGTCAATATCGTAAACGCAATTCATCAGTGTTTATTGCTGGTGTCATCCAAGGCAGTACACTGATGCTATAGGGCAAAATCTACCGGAACCAGGAGCAGAAAAAATGTCTTCTATACAAAAAACAGAAAACATGGCAGATAAATGAATTACTGAAAAGACAATTCGATTTACTTGACAAGTGACAAACCGCGACAGTCTATTTCACGTCTTCAGCAGTACCAGCTGCTGGAACTGACAGCACAACAAACATAGGAAAAACGGACAAATCCGTCCGACTAGGTACAGCTGATTACACATAGAGAATGTGTTAGTTGGCTCTTGTCTTTAAAAATAATTAAGAAAATATTCTCTTTTTATAACACGCGATTATCTTAGCTTATTACGACATTCATCAAATGGCTGTAGTTTATCTAAAAGTATCGTTTAGTTAACACAAAGCAGGTAAAATAATCTAACTACCTACCCGTTATTTTCAGCTGTGTAATTCAATTTGTGATCAAAATATTTATGTCGAGAAGAAATCAGAAAAAAAAACAAAACTAAACTTATAATTCTAAACGATTTCATCACTGTTTTATGCATTTTAGAAAACCTGCTAGGTAATGATATTAAGCAACATAAATTACAAAACAATAAGCTCCTGATTAGGTTAGTGACATGTATGACACTAATCCATTACACAAGAAGAAAGTTATAAGCACGCTAAATATGTGCACATTGTCAATCAGTGATGTGTATGATAGGCAAGGCAGATAACACAGAGAGTGACAGGAACGTTACTTCATCAATCTTAAGTTTTACGGAATATTTTAATAGTATGATCCCAACCCTGACAACTAGAATACAATGTGAAATACAGAGATTGTAAGCAAGTGGAAATAAATTATATGAATCTTCATAATTGACTCTTAGATTTTTAATTTTATTAAATGATAAACATTGATGGAAATGAAAGGCGTGGTCTTAAACTATGTTATCTATGTTGTTACAATAAACTTACATATTTTTTGTTTTTAACGACAAACCGTATAGGTAATATATAGATCTTACTGTCCGTACTTGGACAATCAGCCGAAAGTTTCTTTTTTTTTACCTTTCGCACTTATCATAATCCCGAGGATAACAGACTTTTTACATATGGTAAAGTTGTACATATTTATATATTTGAAATAAATTTCTCGGATTAATTCAAGCAGAACAACAACAACTATTAAAATGATTGGAGTGACCAATGAAAATAGACACCCAGCCGTTCACTCTCCATTTTTCCTATATCGTTATATACCCTAAGATAAATCATACGAGTTATTAATGAAATCTGATTAATTCAATATATTTCTATTCCTGGGGATATCTTGAGTATGACATTATTCATGGAACGATTTGACATTGCGGCACGTTCCTATTCTGACCATCCAACCATTAAAGTACCAGAAAATTGATTGCCAGTCATTCACATTCTTTATATGTGTTTTTTAAAGCATGAAATATCATATGTAAACTTACGCTTGAAAAATAAGATAATGTAGTTTAGAAAAGCTGTAAACCT